AAACAAAGAAATAAAATAGGGATGATTATGAATTTTTTTTTTTTTTTTACTTTTGACTATTAAGGATTAAAATCCTTTTGGAATATAGTAAAAAAAACAGGACACTCAGATAAGAGGACATTTTTTTTTAATTCTATTTTGCTTTGTTTTTCCCGTACTAATTAGATATGAATTTCAAACAAAATTATTGAAGCTCGGAGTGAAAGCTAATGGTAATAATAGCCATTTTCAAAGGAAACACGTGGCAGCCACTACCTTTTTCTGTTCTTTTAGAAAATCTTGAAACAATTTTTAAGGAAAACAGGTTTCTCATTTCTAATAACTGTTATTGCTCTTTCTACTATTGATGAGAACTTCCTTTCTAACGTATTTTATTAAAATATTGTTTTCGTAAGCATATGCTAATCCCAGGGAATCTTACTTATGCCAGACGGTAAACTGAATTCCTGTATAGTATTCAAATTTTTGTGACTTTTTCAGGAAAAAACTCTGCGTCATTTGACGACGGCAGATACGGTAATTTACATTACAATTTCTATAGTAAATCATTAACAATTACATGATATAAGTAACTTTATTTTGGTAGTAACGATTCCAATAATTCGCGACTACTGACAATCGATCTTTTCCTTGTTTTCAAAGCAGGTCATACAAATTTCTAATACTAAAACACATTTTAGTTTAAAATAATTAGGAATTTCCGTATTGTCTTTTCACTTTTCTGTCAGCAACCCGCTATTAAATAAAATACCTCAACCTTTCTCAAGTAGACCGAATCCAATTGGAGTTAAAGTACAACAAATAAAATCTGCATTGTAAGTGGAATTCGCAGATTTTGACGTGATATTTCGTTAAAAAAATCCGGTGAAAAATCATCGCTGAGATTTTAAACACATGTCATTCATCTTCGGATCTATAATATTTCTTTTTCAATTTCTCTGCCGGTGTCTTTTAAATCGTTCCCGGATGAAGCTTAGTTATGCCAGACGGTAAACTATACTCCTGTATATTATGCAAATTTTCAAAATGTTTTCAGAAAAAAAAACTCTGCGTCATTTGGTGACGGCAGATACGGTAATTTAAATTACAATTTCTATAGTAAATCCTTAACAATTACATGATATAAAACCCTAACCTTCACATGACAAATTCCCGAGACATACTTCACGAAAAAAAAATGCGTTAATGACGTCGGCAAATACCGTATGTAATAATCTCTTATCTTATAGTTTATGTTTGTTTTCTAGTTTTCTCTGTTCTCTCGGAAACTGGCGAAGATCCTGATTGTGATTAAAGCTGTTCGACAAAGATTCTCCAAGCAGCATCCCCCCAAAATGACCTAAAATCTTACAATAGAGAACAAATATTAGCTCTTATAGCGCTCCCCGGGTGATCTTATTCCAGGCAACAAAAGTGAAATCTCCATTAAAAGATAAAGTCTGGTTAACTGAATGATGTAAGCTCAATGACTGCGCTGAGCAGTACATTTATTTTTCTCTTCTACCAAAGACATGCATTGAAAATCAAAAAATTTATTAACGGCCGGAAATTAAAGTTTTCATTACAGAAATAATACCCTGATTATATATATAATTTAAACGCATTAGTAACGTTTTACTATAGAAAGAGAGAGGGGGAGTATTTCTTACTGTATATGTTGCATACGGCCACAGCCTCAATATGCTTGATGTTATTAATGTGGTTTCCATAGCAAGTGGGTTTTTATGGGGGAGGGGATTTGCCAGATTCTCACCATACTGATTTGGAGTTATTTTTCTCCTAGACTGATTGACAGCCAGGACTAGATAACCTACCCTGCTGTTTAATCTGTAGATGCGATGAGAAAAAGATTTATACATTTCGTAAAGGTATTTCTGCGAAAGGGAACGCAACTACCTCGAGAAGAATTTGAACTAGCTATACAGATCCTGCAGCAAATGATTGGAAATAATTTTACTATAAAATTACATGGAGAAAATCTTTACTATAGAATTACATAAAGGAAATCTTTATTATAATATTATACGCAGGAAATATTTACTATAGAAATACATACAGGAAATATTTCCTAAAGATATTACATAGTGGGTATCTTTACTATAGTAATACATAGAGGAAATCTTTATAGGAATACATAAAGCAAATATATACTATATGATTGCATAGAGGAATTTTTTAATCTAGAATTACATAGAGGAATCTTTTACTATAGAATTACATAGAGGAATCTTTTACTATAGAATTACATAGAGGAAATCTTTACCATAGAAATAGATAGATGAAATCCTTACAATAGAATTACATAGAGGAAATCTTTACTATAGGATTACATAGAGGATATTTTTAATCTAGAATTACATTGTGGAAATTTTTATTATATAAATACATAAAGGAATTCTTTATTATAGAAATACATAGATCTTTACTATAGGATTATATAGAAAAAATCTTTACTATAGGATACATAGATGAAATATTTACTATAGGAATACATAGAGGAAATTTTCACTATAGGAATACATAGAGGAAATCTTTACTATAGATTTACATAGAAAAAAATCTTTACTATACCATTATATAGAAAATATCTATACTATAGTAATACATAAAAGTAATCTTGCAAAAAATGTAATGAAAATCAAGAAGGCAAAATGTATGAAGTATTTAAAAAAATGAAACCTGCATTTTTATTCATTACACTTAAAATGATCTCCAGTTTTTAAGCAAATATTTTTCCTTTTGAATTAAAAATAAGTTTTTGTTTAATTAATCGCGTAGCTTTTAAAATATTTACGGTTGAAAAACCACGCTTTTAATTAATGAAATAGAGTGAAAAGAAAGTTGAAATGCTCCTCAGAAAGTGATTATAACTGAGACACCATAAACCCTCTTTCAAAACTCCAACAGTTCAATTATGACTGAAAGCAGGTGAAAATATCAAGATTTTAACGAACGTATTCATTCGTTTCCTTCGCTCCACCACCTCATCTCTCAATCTCTCACTTTCTCTACCTTTTCCCGCCTTCTTGTTTTTTTTTTTTATTTTCACAGCGCGCATGCGTAGATATATAAATAGTAACCTCATATTTAAAAAAAAAATGAGAGAGAAAAGGATGTGCCTTTCTTTACAAGGCAATCATTTAATTACTATCAAAGTTTCGTCACAAGAATAAGAAAAGAATTTAGAATAACAGCACCCGAAGCAACAATATCAATGACAAAAAGAAGAACGAATAAAATAAAATGAAACTCGGTTTATAAACAACACGATCTGATAACAATGAGTGTTTGAAAAGAAAGGCATATATATGATATAGTCAGGAAATAAAAACGTCTATAAAGTGCCATGAGTTGGACTATAATAATAAGAACTTATAAAGGAAAGGTGAAAAATATCATAAGAGTGAGTCATTAAGACAAGAAGCGTTATGGCAATTTAAATAAAGCCTACACAGTATAAAGGTTCTCTATAAAATAAAGAAAGAATCAGTAGTGAAGAGACAGAGTAGGAATAACAGAGCGCGTCTGTTGATAGAAAACAAAGGAGAGACAAACAGACAGAAGCTACAAGGAAATACGTGCAAAACCTCGATCTCAGAAATTAGATCCAGAACTTCGACTTAGAGATTACCGGATCCAAGATAATGACTGCCAAATGCTTTCGTCTTACATTCCTAACGACTATAAGAATTTAGTGCTCGAATTTAGTATTTTAAAAAAAAAATCAGTATTTCAATTGCTTATTTTCCAAATCATAGAATCTCTTCAGCTCCATATCTGGAGCATTACAATCTTCTCACCTCGATTTCCATCCATAGGATAGTACGCTGCATTAAATAAATGCCAGTAACTCTATTAACCTTTCTTAATAAACTCGTAATATATATTTTTCCATCGATTTAATTTACCTTTCAATTTCATGATCTGTAACAAGGATTTCCCAAGTTGTAAAAGTTTTCCACAAATCTTAATATACATATTACTGCAATAGCATTATAATAACTAAGAAAGAACTCTTCCTGTCTGAATTTATGGGATCATTATTTAGATTCCAAATAAGGGTAGTAAAAAACTAATAACAATAGTGAATTAAAACGTATCTTTGTGAGTTCAATCCCTGGACCGGGATTTACACTCAGTGTCAAAAATGTGAGCAATAACTGAGCTGTATTAAATAAGAACAAGGTAAGATAACTCTCGATATTGACTACGGAACGGGAACAATCCTTCCTTGTAGATTAAATAAAGGGATAAGTTTGAGCTTTTCTGAAGGCTACCCGGAACGACAGACTCTTGAAGAAGGTCGGAGAGCACAACTGCTGAAACGTTGTAATATTACCAAGAAAAATGAGGACATTAGTCTGAATGAAAATTTTTAAAAAGTATAATATCAAGTATGCGAAAACAATGTTTTAAAATGATACAAATTACACTTATTAGAAACAAGACAAATTGAGGACATTTGAAGACTTGCTGAAGGTTTTGGGGCCCCTTAATTTTCACTAAGACACTCTATTGTTAAGGATAGTGTAATTTGTTCGAAAAATTAGATAAAATCAGCTTTTATAATGTTAAGTTGATGCAAACATTTCCATCATGATTTTCTCAGAATTTTAGGGAAAATCTTTTAATTTTACCCAGTTCTTACGGAAATCGATATTTGTCAGCATTTAAACAGTTTTATCATTCTATATATCTATACGTTATTTTTATAGATACAATTTATTTGAGTAAATGCTCTGTTTTAATTAAACAGTATTAACTACATTTACCGGCCTGAATGTTCGAGAAATTTCATAGAAAATATGCGTTCTCCAACAGGAATCCGGCGTATATTTCTATAAGGAAACTGTCATTTGATCTGACGTGCTATACCATTTAGCTACGGAGAAGCGTCTGGTTATCAAAGTTACATCAATATCTTTCTATCAATCTATCTTTCTATCCCTCTATGTCAGCCACTTCACCTATCGCAATCTGTCCATTATCAATTTTTCTAGATCACAAGATATATAGACAGTTACCTCAGTCACATCAACCTCTATCTATCTATCTATCTATCTATCTATCTATCTATCTATCTATCTATCTATCTATCTATCGCAGTCTGTTTATTATCTTTATTCTAGCTATCCCGATAGATAGACAGATAGCTATCCCATTCACATCAGTATCTATTTGTTGTATCTTTCTACCTAGCATGATAATCAGATAGCTATCTCAATGACATCAATATCTATCTATATATATATATATATATATATATATATATATATATATATATATAAGCTTGTTCATCTATTTATCTTTCTAACTCAAATTTAAGATAGATATCTCACTTTCATCAATATGTATCTATCTATAGCAGTCTGTTCATTACCAATTTTTGTAGCTCACAAGATATATAGACAGCTACTTCAATCACATCAATATCTATCTATCTATCTGTCTATCTGTCTATCTATCTATCTATCCCAGTGTCTTGTATCTTTCTAGCTAGCATGATGATCAGATAACTCTTTCAGTTATGTCAATATCTATTTCTCTCTTTTTATATATATATATATATATATATATATATATATATATATATATATATATATATATACATACGTATCGCAGTCTGTTCATTATCAAACTTTGTAGGTAGTCTCATCAATAGCTATCTATCTTACTCCATTCTTTTCCCATCAATCTATTTGTCTATCTGTCACTACCTACTCACGATAGAAAGGAGTCATTTCTAGCAATTACAGATGGATTGATTACCAGAATCCAGAATGAAATAAAATAGTTACAGTGCAGCTCTATCAACTTCTCACCCCCAAGGGGAATATACTTGAAGAATATTGAGTGTTTTCGTAAGGATTCATGTGAAATATTTATTGTAAACATAGACAAATTTACTGCGCCAACCAATAGTGAGTAATTGGCTCGTTTGAATGACGTCATGGAATAGAAAATAATTTATGTTTCTTAGTTTATTACGAAGTTCATCCACGGAATACTCTACAGTGATATGCATTCTCCGTATTTGTTACCTTCACACTATGTTGCACTCATTGCCTTGTCAAAGAATTCCTCGAAAAATTTAACAAATGAAAGCCAGACAATTTTGTTGTTTTATGTAATACACAATTTAGTTGAAAGTTAACGTAAGCTCAGAGAAGGCCATGGAAAATTCTTTGATGAATGATTAATCATAATATGAATTTATATGAATAAAATGTTTCATTAAAAAAACAGTTAATATTTACATCAATCTAATAGCATAGCAGTCTTTGTTTTAGCTGCGAGAAATGTTTCGCTGTAATATGATCACTCACGAACAAGCATCGCGAATGATTATATTAAAGAAAAACTTTTTGCTTGTTCGAAATTAATTAACAAATATTCTATTTTCGTTTGTGCAATAATTTCAACAAAACTTTCTCTTTCTTACAAAACGCATCGCTGTAGCACTTTTTGACATCGCTATACTCGGCAGGTGAATAGAGAAATGAACGAGGAGTAGGACTAATATTAGACAAACATACGAAAAAAATATGTTTTAAGATATTGGCAACCCTCAGAAAGAGTTTTTCTATTGAAACTGTAAAGGAAGTAAATGCGCAAATGTTGCAAATCACAGAAGAAATAGATAAGTTTTATAACACGATAATGCCAAAAGCCAATGCAAGTAAGCATTGTCATCAAAATGTATCTAAATAATAAAAAAAAGTAAGAACAAGACAATGAAATAGTCCACAAGTATAGACTTAGATCACGCAACGGACGTGGAGAAAAATGGTTCCATTGGTGTACGGCGAACGACCAAGTAATGAACAATAACTTATTTAGAAACACCCAAGAAAGTTTATGGAAATGGAAAAACCCAAGAGGAAACATAAAGTATCAGATAGACTACATAAAAACCAGAAAAAGATTTGTAAAAATTCTGGTCTGCCAGACTGAAACTTATCGTAGAACCGACTACGGAAGCGTCCACCTCTCATTAATATGAATCTGAGATTAAAGATACAGAAATGAAAGTAACAGCGACGCTGAAGTAAAATGGAGCGGACAAATGATCATTGGCCCAACGAGAAGTTTGCAGTGATAGACAAACTCTGGGACATAGACAGACCAGATAGGCATAAAAAGATAAAAGAAATAACAAAATAGAAAACTTGCTCTTCGACAAGATACATAAGATCAGAAAATGGAAACGCTCGTAATAGAAAAAGAAAATACTACAAAGAATGAACGAATACACTGGAGAACTCTTGTAGCATTAAAATATGAGTTAAAATATGTACAAGTCAAGATGAACAGAAACTAAGCTGCAGCATCAGATATGATTGTAATATAGATGCTGTCAACATTAGACGATTCTGAAATTGTTGTAAAGTGAACGAAAAGCTTTCTTCCTCCGTATGAGTTTCGAATCCTGGTCGCCAAAGTTGTTATACAGTAGTTTCACAGTGGAGGCTTGTATTTCACTAAGTCGGTCCTAAAAAGTTTCGACGTACAAAACGTTAGGAACTTGAAATAATAGTTAATGACGTAGCAATCTAGTTGTGGTGGCTGATACTTTAATGTCCGACATCGATTGACTGACCAACTTACTGAGCTCCCTGGCGACTGCTACTACTACTACTTATTATAGGTGGGAGAGTCTATTAACAATAGAATAGGTATGTTCCAGTATAACATAAATCTACTGAAATAATAAGTGAAATATACGACAGCGTTGAAATACCAGTAGATATATCTTCATAGCGATGTCAAAGAAGCAGGGTTCAAATAAATGCGAATACAAACAATCTACTTAATAATTAAACATCATTGAGATTCTAATGAATAAACCTGGTAGCAAAATTAGACAATAAACAGAGAAGGGCAGTGTGGTTCAGCTTAAATTAATGGAACAAGAAATGCTATCTTTACGATAAAAATACTATTACAGTGAGCAATGCAAATGAAGAATGTCCTCTACTTATGTTTTATAGATTACACAAAACCATTTGTTAGAGTACGATTACTTGAAAATCAATGAAAGCTTAATTTACTTTGGAAATATATTACAATAATCCGTAACTTTTAGTGGATAGAAAACGAGTTCAGTGAGTACATAAAAATAGAAAGGGGATTAAAAGGAAAATTTGTTTTCTCACCGAATTTACTTAATCTTTACAGCGGATGATGCTAAGATGACGGCAATGTGTACTAAGACTTATCATCAGTGCACATAATCTTAACAGCTTAAGATATTCAGATGGCATTGTATTGATAGCAAACTTAGAAGACAAACTGGATTTTTTTTAGATAATCTAAATGAAGGCTGGCACGGTGGAATAATGGATAGCGGATCAGATTGAGGAATCAGAGAGCCGAGTTCGAATTCCAGTCGAATCACTTATATTCACTTACGTGCTAATACCCTTGGAAAAAGTATAAATCCACTTCTCCCCCCCCCCCAGTAATGGGTAAATAGCAGAAAGAAATAGCAACCTATTGCGGTGAAAAATCTGCCTTGTCAGTCATGTATCATAAGATACATGATCGCCTACGCGTATATCACGCATGGCACATAACTGATTGAAACAAGAAAAAAAGGAGCAGTAAAAAATCAGAAGGCGAGGTAAACGAGACAGTCCAAGATTTGACCTGTGTATTTGAGACTTAAAAAAAACTAAGAAATTAGAGAAATTTAACTATTTGGGTAGTTTAGTAACAAACAACGGAAAATGTGATATAGAAATCTGAAGATAAAGAGAAATAACGAGGCCACCCAGAAACTAAGCAAAGTATTAAGACATAGGAAAATAATATTGGAAACAAACAATGCTGTTGAGCTGCTCTGTAATACCTAATCTAATGGCAGCGAATACTGGATAATATCCTCATAGGTGAAGTGTTCTATTGGCGGGTGTTGAGGCTACTGTGGAAAAAAACATAAAAGCCATATAATGAGGAAAGAAAGCACAGGACATATTGAAGACAAAAATGACAGGAAAACAAATGACCTATCTAAAGAGTTTGTGAAAATGGGTGACAGAAGGACAAAGGGGAAAGATCAAAGGTCACTAACAGTATCAAAAGGGTTGAAAGTTGTGGGATGTTATGTTCGCTTACGTTGTAAAAGGACACAGCGCCGGGAATACGAAACAATAAGATACGCGTCAGGTACGGGCATTATCTTTCAATATTTGTTAATTTCGCTGAGTGAACTTTAAAAGACACCTCATTCCATCAGGACAACTGGCATACAGTGTTTATCAAGCTCAGCTTATTCAGTCAGATATGTGCCATGCATGATACACGGTTAAGCGATCATGTATCTTTCGACGAGGCAGATTGTTTTTCCCGCAGTAGGTTGCCATTTCTTTCTGCGGTAGACCAATTGACATCCAGGACTATAGAACTCGGTCCGCTACTTACCCATAGATGGGGTGGGGGAGAAGAAGAGGATTCATACCTTTCCCAAGGGTATTAGCACGTAAGTGAATATAATGGATTCGACTGGAATTCGAACTCGGCTCTCCGATTCCTCAATCCGAGCCACTATCTATTACTTCAACGTGCCTCAGCTTATTACAAGATCGAATACATTGTGGTGGATTATTTCGCGTCATTTTCACAAATTGGAAGTACTTCTCTTCCTTGAAACTCAATATTTAAAATTCTAACTTTTACTTTGGTTTCAATTGGTGAGTACCCATCTAGCTTATCCTCCATGGAGATATTGGTAAATGAAAGTTAAGAACCGTACGGAGCGTTTTCCATACCAAGGAATATCAATATAAACAAAAAATTATGTTTCTGTGCTCGAGTCTTTGGTTTTTGTCTTCACATGATTGCAATTTAAAAGCAGCATTCAGAATTTATTTCTGTTACTTTTTCTATCGCATCGTTATTTTTCGTTGGAATCCAAATAAGTTACCCAATCCGGGCAAAATGGCCGCATTTAATCGCCGTGAAGAAAGAGATTTGTCAAATAATGAACATCGCTGAGTCTTCAAACCACAAAATAAAACTGAAAGTAAATGATAAACTGGAGAAATATATCCGGACTTTCTCCGAAAACTAAAGAAATTCTGGAAAATTATGGTGACAGTTGCAACAGTCCCAAAGTGACGTTTTGTGTTGAAATATAGACATAATGCAAAATAATTTGATCGTCTGGTTTGCTCTGTCGAAAAACATAAGTGATTTGTTCGAAAAATTATCGAATTCCTGTCACAGTCTTCGATTTTTTTTTATCATTGGGATTGAGTGAGAGTATGCTTTTTCAGTTTTCTCGCCTCTTTGTAGATGTCATCACTTTTGTAGCGGTCTCAATTCTTTCTGGAATCTGAAATTCTTTCATTCACGATTCTACTGTTTCTGGCTTGTTTCCAAATGTGCTATGTATTATTGGTATAACTGAAATCGTCTCGATGGTGTTCCAAACGCATTCATTACTACAGGAATTATTTCTACTTTCATGTTCCATAG